TCCGCCACTGGAGAGGCAAACGGAACCACGTCAGACGTTTATAGGGACGTCATTCATCCATCAAGGATGTATGAAGCACCTACTGTGTGCCAGGCGCTGCTCTAGGTAGGCATCCCCTGCCCTCATGGGGAGGTCCCACTTGCTAGTGGCAGGGACAGGGGAGACAGACCACACGGGACACGTTGACAAATAAAATGTAAGTCTGCCAGAAAGCCTTAGGTGCCATCGAGGCAAAAATTGGGCAGAGATGGAGCACGTGTGTGTGTGTGTAGGGTGGGGTGGGGGTAAAGGCACTGGCGATTTTAACAGGTGGCCAGGAGGGGCCCCTGTCAGATGGTGACCCTGAACTGAGACCTAAGGAAGGGAAGGAGGTAGCCCGAGGAGCCTCAAAGGCAGAGAAGGCCAGGCCCAGGGAGCAGTGGTGGGCAGGCCCACGGGCAGAGCAGCCAAGAGGAGGGGGAGAGAGAGCCGGAGATGTGGGAGTTAGGCTGAGAAGTTATGAGGTCACCCACTTAAGGGTGGAGGCCCCAGGGTTGGGCCTGACTGACAGGATAGGATAGGTCAGCCTGTGCCCATAGAACTTGGAGGTTGTAACTTTACACACTTGGTCATTTCTTCATATCCCCCACCTCCCACCCCCACAAGGTAGGACTTCACAGGAGGTGACATATGGGTCCCTCTGGGGACTTCCTTGGCCATTCCCAGGACCCACACGTGCTCCCATTTTATAACTTCCCCCTGTGCAGGGCAGCCCAGTGAGAAAACTCCCTGGTATGCAGTAGGTGCTCAATGCATGGTTATTCCCCAGCTGGGTGGTACCTTCCTCAGGGCCAGGAGGAATGAGGTCTGGCTGGTGGCTCTCCTGAGAGCAGATGGCCCCAGTAGAGCCAGGCTGCCTGACCCAGGGCAGAGGGACAACTGAGACCAATCAAAGGTTTTATTTCCTCACTACCTCACCCCATCCACCTGTCCTAGCAGCTGAGACTGGCTTGTCCTCACCCAGCAAGGGTGCTCATGGGGGTCTAGTCTCTGCCTCCTCAAGTTGCATGGCCACTCTGAGCCTCAGTTTCTTCTCCTGCAAAGTGGGACTCATGCATCCCACACACCACACCACCCCCAACTGGCCCAGCCTGTTGCTCACAGGGACCTCCCACCCCACCTGCCCCGAAGCCCTCCTACCTCTCAGACCACCGAACGCCTCCCCGCCCTCTGCTCTGCTCCAGTCTCCACGACCTCCTCTCTGGGTTCAAATCTCAGCTCGGCAGCCTCTGGGCTGGGTGACGCTGGGCAAGCTGTTAGCCTCTCCGGGCCTCGGTCTCTGCATCTGTGAAGCAGATGAACCAGACCACGGCCAGGCTTGCTGTGAAGCCGAATCAGGACTACTGTGTGGAAGGTATGAGTGTGCTGTCGGTCCCACTGAGCAGTGGGAAGTGTCACTCCTCTCAGATGCTCCTCCCCCTGTGCTCGCTTGCCTCAGCAAACGGCCCTTGGCCTCCTCCTCACCCCACACTTGGTCACTCATCACGTCCCCATTCTGGGCCCATCACTGCTCACCTGGAGGACTGCAGGAGCCTCTGCCTAGTCTCCCTAACCTCCCCACAGGCTCCCTCCCTGCCCAGGGCTCTCCAGTACCATAGGGTGAGGTCTGATGTCTGAAAGATCCTCCAGCCTCACTTGGGCTCTGGCCTTTACTAAAGTGGTTTCCATCTTCTGAGAGCCTCCTCCAGGAAGCCTCCCCTGACTTCCCAGACTCGTTAGGTACTGCCTCGGCTCCCACAGTCCCCTGGGTGCTCTGCTTGCCTGAGCAATCACCCTGACTTGTTCCCACATGGGCCTCCATGCGGGCTGTAAGTTCCAGGAAGCAGGGGCTGGTCCTGTTCAGGCTAAAGTGCTCAATCTACTTCCCACATTTCCACCGGGGCCTCACAAAGAAGCAGGGCCTCAAGTCCTTAATGAAGCAGGGACATGCCCACTGGGTGATGAGGTCCCACGGGGCCCAGGAGTCAGAAGGAGATGGGGTGCAGATTAGGGTCAAGGAGGAGAGGCACTGTCACAGGCCGAAGATGTGGCCAGAATGGGCAAAGGGGGGTGTTGATGGTCTACCACTCCAGGGTCAGCAGTGAGTCTGGACAGCCAGCTGGCTGGATCAGTGCTTTGATCTCACTGCTGCCTCTTGGCTGTGGCTGTACCCCACTCTGAATGCTAAGGGTCCGGAGAACCACAGGTCCTGTGCTCTAAGCCTCGGGTTCCCCATTCTGCTCAGTGTGGAGTTTAGGACTCACCACAGCCTCTTAGCCTTTCCCCCTCGGTCCCCTTCCAGTCACATAGGCCCCCTCAGGCCTCAAACACCCCTGATATACCCACCTGTACTTCAGAGCCTTCCCCTACCCTTCCCACCACTTCCCATCTTCCGATCTCAGAGCAGCCATCACCCCAACCCCAAATTACCTGGGTTGTCGTGTGGGCCTGCTCCAGGAGGGTAGGCAGCCTTTGAATTGCAGTGCCTGGCACATAGTAGGTGCTCAAATACCTGTTGAATGCATCAAGCAATAACTTTCTTTTTCTTCTTTTTTTATTTAACTTCTATTTTTATTTTTTACATTATTTTACTGGGGGCTCGTACAGCTCTTATCACAGTCCATCCATCCATCCATGTGTCACACACATCTGTACATATGTTGCCCTCACCATTCTCAAGACATTTTCTACTTGAGCCCTTGGCATCAGCTCATTTCCCCCCTCCCCCACCCTCCCTCATGAACCCTTGATAATTAAAAAAAATTTTTTCTTCCATGCAAGGGGTTACCTTAAATGTCTCGACAGCCCATGAGAGGTGGGGAGTGGAGTCCCTCAATGAATCGATATTGAAACTGAGGCCCAGAGAGATTACGTAAATCGCCCAAAGCCACAGCGCTGGGCCCACCGCCCCTTGCTCTGGAAGAAGGCAGAGCTTCCATTAGAGCTGGAGGAAGAAAGGCATCCCCCCAATCAGCACCCTCTGTATTGCCTAGATGGGGCAGTTTGGCTCAAGGTCACAGTGCCATAGCACAGGGACCAGCTCTGCCCATGGTCCGTGTCTCCTCTAGCCCCTGGGCAGGAAGCGGCTGGGACCTGCATGGGTTCTAGCCTCGCCCAGATGCTATTAGGGAGGGCTGCCCCGCTTATCTCCCTGCTGTTTCCCAAGAAGCTCCAGTCTGCTGCTGATTCAACAGCCCAGCCAGGCAGGAAGCTGGAAGGGGCTGGCTGCCAAGGCCAAGTCCCTGCCTCCACTACCTCCATTCTAGAAGACCTTGGCCATGTCCCCTTTACCCTCCTGAGCCTTGGCCTCTTCATCTGTCCAACAATGGGCTGTGGCAGGGACGGACCACCCAACAGGCAAGGTAAGCCTGGGCTTTCTTAGGCGTGCTTACTAATCTGTAGTGAACGGTTTCGTAGTTGTTCCCCCCCCCACCACCAGAGGTTTTTCTTTGATGTGGTGACGCACACACGAAACTGTTCACCACAGATTAGTAAGTGAGCACAAGTGAGCCCATGCTCACCTGACCTACTGGGCAGCCCCGTGTCCCTGACTAGGACTCTTGGTGTGAAAAGCGGCTCCACTTCCATAGTGAGGTGCTGTGGGGCCTGCCAGCGAGGGCGAGAAGCGGACTCTTTGATGTGGTGTAAAAGTGTGGCATTGTCCACTACGGATTTATAGTAAGCACAAGTTTACTCGGCTCCCTGGGTCATCCCATGCCGGGCTATGAACACGGCCAGACAGGTTTGTCTTTGTGAGTGGGGATTTCGTAGCCTAGTCTATAAAATGGGGACCTTCGTCCCCACCTGCCCGGCAGAGTCCGAGAGGCAGATCATCACCCCATGGTCTATCTCCTGGGATTCTGGGGAAACTGAGGCACAGCAGTCGGGAAGGACTCAAGGAATGGCCTGTCTTGGGTTCAGTCCAGCCGCATCCCACCCTCGTGACTCCCTAGGGGGCCAGTGGGTGGAGCGGGAAGGTGTGGCAGGCAGAGGCTGAAAAAAAACCATGCTGAAAACCCATAGGCGAGCCTCTCTCCCCCCTCTCCCCGCCGCCCCGACTGCTGGAGCCAGTGACCCCAGAGGCCCCAGGAGCGCTGGCTGGGGCTCTGGCAGGCCCTGTGCCCACCGCAGAGACTGGGTCTCCGTGCTGGCCAGCCCCGCCGCTGCCCTCTGCCCTTTGTGTGGGAGATCTGGAGTTCTTTCGCGTGGATGGTCAACTGCAGAATGCGGGGTGTCTGGAGAGGGCTTGTTGTCAGTGGTCGCCGCCCCCGCAAGGTCCCTTGGGGGTCTGGGGACAAGTCTACCCTGGCAGCGGGGGCCCCTCCTGGGGACGTTACCACTGGAGTGGAATCGCAAACGGGCGGTCCCAATAGAGGGTTCTCCCGGTGGTGGCCGCGGACCCGAGGCCCGTGGCGGCCCGATCCGACCCTGGGCCAGGTGGCCGCAGCCGCCGGGACGGCCTTACCTCGCCGGCTGCGCAGGCCTACAGTGGCGGCGAGGCGGGCGGTGTGGGGCCGGGGGCCGGCGGGGCCGTGGCCAGGACCCTCTCCGCTCCGCGCGGGGACAGCGGCGGCGCTTTGTCTCCCTGGCGGCCAAGCTGGCGCAGCCGCGGGAGAGCGATCCCGGGACGGAAGCAGGCGGGGCCGCTGGACCGTCCGCGGCCCTCGGGCTGGCCCCTTTAACCCTTCCCGGCCCGCTCGTGCAGGCCCCGCCCCCGCGTTTGATTTGCTCTGGGATTGGCCACTTCAAGGTCGCTACGCCCCGGGATTCGCCTCGCTCCGACGGGCCGGCTTCCAAAGCCGCTCTTAAAGGGACCGACACTGATTTTCGAGTATCCAGTGCTCTGCCCAGGGAACCTTTGATTCAAAGTCCCAAAGTGTATCCACAAGCAAGGTCAGACCGACCCACGCAAGGTCATCAGTTCAGAACCACCAACCGCTCCACAGGAGAAAGATGAGGCTTTCTATTCCCATAAAGAGTTACAAGCTCTGAAACCCACAGGGGCAGTTCTACCCTGCCCTGCAGGGTTGCTCTGAGCCCCAGTGCATTCGCTAGCAGGGGGTGACCCTGAGGAGTTGCCAGATTTAGTATTAGTCAACTCAATTTAATTACAAAAATACCTGCGCCTAAAATATGAATTTGTGGGGGGGAAATTTAGAGTATCTCGACAAAGCTCATCCAAGGCTGTCTTGGTCAACCTACTGGGCAGGCCAGATGAAAAGCTTGCAGAGTCCCCCAGTCCTTAAACCAGTGTGAATGAACCTTGGGGACAATGGTGCGTGCCATCTAGCCATTCCACGTTGTGTCGTTGTTGGGTGCCAGTGAGTTGCAGGGCTGCACCATCCTCAAGTGTTCCTGTGCCAGAGCCCATCTGTTGACGGCCTTTCTCTTTCTCGCCACCCTCCCCGTTACCAAACATGATGGTCCTTCTCCGGGCACTGGTCTCCCCTGACAGTACGTCCAAAGTAGGTAAGACGAAGTCTTGCCATCCTTGCCTCTAAGGAGCACTCTGGCCTTACTTCTTCCAATACAGATCACTTTGTCCTTTTAGCAGTCCATAATACTTTGAATATTTCTTCTCCAGCACCACAGTTCAAATGCATCTCTTCCTCTTTGGGCTTCCTCAATCAGTGTCCAACTTTCACACGCTCATGATGCAATGGAGAATACCATGGCTTGGGTCAGGCATACCTCAGTCCTTAAAGTCACACCCTTGCCCTTCTTTCCTCTAAGGGGGTCTTGTGCAGCAGATTTGCCTAATGAAGTGCTTCTTGTGATCTCTTGAATGCTGCTTCCACGGGCACTGATTGTGGAATCAAAAGTAAGACAAAATCCTTAACAACGTCAGCCTTTTCTCCATTTCTTATGGCCTTACCTTTTGATCCAGTTGTGAGGATTTTGGTCCTCCTGACTGAGTTGTAATCGATACTGAAGGGTTACAATCCTTGATCTTCATAAGCAAGTGCCTCAAGTCCTCCTCATTTTCAGCAAGCAAGGTTGTGTCATCTGCATATCACAGGTTGTGAATAAGCCTTCCTCCAGTCCTGATGCCACACTCTTCTTCACATAATCCAGCTTCTCTGATGATCTGCTCAGCATATAGACTGAACAAGTATGGTGAGAGTATACAATCCCAGTGCATACCTCTCCTCATTTTAAACCATGCAGTATTCCCTTACCCTGGTCCCACAATTGCTTCTTGATCCACGTACCAGTTCCGAAAGAGCACAATGAAGTGCTCCGGAATTCCCATTCTCAGGGTTATCCACAGTTTATTATGGTCCACACAGTGGAATGCCTGTGCACCGTCAATGAAACTTAAGCAAATACCAGTCTGGTTTTCTCTGCTTTGAGCCAAGATCCATCTGACATCAGCAGTGACATCCCATGTGCCCTGTCCTCTCTGAATCTGCCCTGAACTTCTTCTGGCAGCTCTCTGTCTGTGTTGCTGCAACCGTTGTTGGATGATCTTTAGCAAAATCTTACTTGTGTGAAATATCAGTGATAACATTCTGGCATTTGAGCATTCTCTTGGGTTGCTTTTCTTTGGAATGGGCACAAATCTGGATCTTTTTCAGTCAGTGGGTTAGGTAGCTGTCTTCCCAATTTCCAGGCCATAGACAGGTGAGTGCTTCCTGTCTTTTCAGTTTTCTGGAACCTTTCCGTGGGTATCCCATCAACTCCTAGAGCCTGTTTGGGGCTAATCCATTGAGTGCACTTTGAACTTCCTTCAGCACCATTTGTTTTTGCTCGTGTGCTACCTCCTGAACTGGTGGGCTGTGGACTAGTTCTTGTGGCACAGTGGCCCTGTGTGTTTTTTCATCTTCTCTTAATGCTTCCAGTATTCCAAGTCGCAGTGATCTTATAGGACAGGGTAGAACTGGACAGCTCTTGATGGCCCCATGCTGTTTGCTAGGCTGAAATCGTGAAGGGAGCCGACCTTTTCTAGCTCAGAGGTGCTGGTGGGTTCAAACCCCAGCCCTTTCTATTAGCAGCCGGTGCTTCTCCGTTCTCCCCCCATCCCACCCCCTGGCCCCCTGGTCAGGCCTCAAATATCAAGCCCCATGGCACACAGTAGGTGCTCTCCCCCTGCCACCATCCTCTGAATCACATCACTGCCCACATTGGGATTGGTGGGGCAGGGCTGGGGGCAGGCCACGTTCACCTATAAATCCAACAGCTTCTCACTCAGTTCCTACTGTGGGCCAGGCCACCCAGTGCCCACACCCCCACAGCCCTGGGCGGGACACATACTCCCAGAAACATTCCTGTGTGACCCCTGAGGGTAGCTGAGTTTGCTACCTCCTGCTGTGCCCTGGGGCCATGGGCAGGGGCTTAAACTGAGGTGGCCCAGGGGAGCTGGGAGTGCTGGGTCCCAGTGAGGCAGGTTAGGAGTCCCCTTTGGGGGGCCAGCCATCACCTCCATGTAGTTCCAAAGATTCTGTCCTTGTCCCACAAGGAACATCTGTACCGGTAGGCTGTTGCACTGCTGTTTGGGCTTTTAGCTGCCATCCAGTCAGACTGACTCCTGGCACCCTCTTGTCTACTAGGCAGAAGCACGGGCTGCCCGGGGCCTCATCTTCACTGCCAGCGATAGATATTAGAGGCCATCGAGGCCATCGTGTGCCTATCGGGCTGGTCCGGCTCACTGACGGTTCCTTCCGTTTTGCTTTCCACGCATGCTGCCCTTTCTCAGTGAGCGGGTCCTTCCTGATGAATGAACCCTTGCTGTCCTCGCTTCTAAGGAGCATGCTGTTTGCGGGTAACGCCCATCCAAGACCGGGAACCCATGTTCTGCCGATGGGTTTCCCACTCCTGACATCACCTGTTAGTGCAGCGACTCCGCGTGCGGGCTTTAGGGTCTGCCGTGTCTTCATAGTAGCCTGAATGTGTGCCTCGTTCTTTTTCATGGCTGTGCAATATTCCATTGTGTGCAGTGCCACGGTGTGTTTCTCCAGTCATCCACCGAGGGACATTGGCTGGTCCCCACCTTTTGGCCTTTGTAGTGTTGGGGGTGGGGGGAGCCAAGTGTCTTTGGCATTGGGACCAGAGGGGGCTGGGCTGGAGAAGGTATGGTGAGTCAGGACTAGAAGAGGAATTTGGGGACCAGAACTGGGTCACAGCCGCCTATACAAAGCCTTCTGACTTTACCTCCTAACCAGGTCAGGAACTCCCACTTCTCCTTCTCTACCACTGGTCACCCCACCCCCCAAGCCAGATCTGCAGCAGCAGCAGCCTCTGGGGTCTTCTTGCTGCCGCTCTGACCCTCACGCCCCTGAGTCCCCTCTCTGAGCACCCAGGGATCCTCTTAGAGCAGGAACCAAACTGTCTCCCTCTCTTGCTCAATGCCTTTCCATAGCTCCCTATTACCTCTGCTTATGAGCGACCAGGCCCTGCTTGTCCTGCTCAGCTGCACCCACCTGGCTCCCTCTGTTCCCAGAATTCCCGACCTTTGGTCTTCCTTTTGTGCCCTCATCTGTGCCCCTTACTCATCCTTTAAGTCATCTCAGCCTTCTTCCGATCCCACCAAGGCAGGTGCCTGTGCTTTCCCCTATCGTTTATTCTGGTGGTCTCATGGTTACACGTGGGGTTGCTAACCACAAGGTCAGCAGTTCGAAACCACCAGCTGCTCCAAGGGAGA